CACAACTGGAGGGCGCTCACGCTCACGCGCAAAGCTCCATTCGTGTGGAGGGCACGGATACACCGCTCGCATAAATGGAGCGGTGTGCGCATGCGTGCGCCTGCCACTCACATGCTCCACCCTCCCCTCACGCCACCAAGCTGCAAAGGTTGGGGAGCGCTTGTCTAAACAGAAGCAATCCTTTTCCGAACACAATACAGGCAGTCCTCGGCTTACAACCGTTCATTTAGCGACTGCTCAGAGTTACAACAGCGCAGAAAAAAGTGACTTTTCTGACCATTTTTCACACTTGCCACCATCGCAGCATCCCCGTGGGTCACCTGATCAAAATTTGGATGCTTGGCAACCGAGGAATTCTGGGAGTTGAAGTCCACCCATCATAAAACTACCATGGGGTGACTGAGGAATTCTGGGGGTTGAAGTCCACCCATCATAAAACTACCATTGGGTGACTGAGGAATTCTGGGGGTTGAAGTCCACCCATCATAAAGCTGCCATGGGGTGACCGAGGAATTCTGGGAATTGATGTCCACCCTTCATAAAGTTGCCAAGGGCTTGCTGAGGAATTCTGGGGGTTGAAGTCCACCCATCATAAAGCTGCCATTGGGTGACTGAGGAATTCTGGGAGTTGACGTCCACCTATCACAGAGTTGCCAAGGGCTGGCTGAGGAATTCCTTGCTAAGGTTGAAAAACACTGTCTTAAAGCGAGAACAGCTTGAAGATGAAAGGTGTGCGTCAATTCTCAATAAAGGTGTGGCTGGCCAACATCAGTACAAAACCAACGTGTTTTGTTCATTCAAATGCTACAGGAAATTGCTCAGGGTTGGGCCCTATTTGCACCCTAACCACAGCCCCAGTGTGTCCGCTAAACACCCTTCTTTGGCTATAACCCCACAAAGTTGTTGAGACATTGGAAAAAGTGCAGAGAGCAGCAACTAAGATGATTAAAGGCCTGGAGACTAAAAACATATGAAGAACAGTTGCAGGATTTAGGTATGGCTAGTCTAGAGAAAAGAAGGACTAGGGGTGACATGATAGCAGTCTTCCAGTATCTCAGGGGTTGCCACAAAGAGGCAGTCAACTTATTTTCCAAAGCGGCTGAAGGCAGGACAAGAAACAATGGATGGAAACTAATCAAGGAGAGAAGCAACCTGGAATTAAGAAAAAAAAACAACTTCCTGACAGTGAGAACAATTAATCAGTGAACAACTTGCCTCTAGAAGTTGTGGTGCTCCATCACGGGAGGTTTTTAACAAGAGACTGGAGAACCACTTGTCTCAAACGGTATAGGGTCTGCTGCTTGAGTGGGGGGTTGGACTAGAAGACCTCCAAGGTCCCTTCCATTCAGAATATGAATCTGAAAGTTGCCTTCATCGCCTCCCAGGCCAGGCATGAAATGGGTCTACTTGGTCCTTGGCTAGAGTGGCCTTAAAGGTCCCTTTGCTTTGTAATCAAGGTCAGCTTTGTAATCTGCAATGCCGGTGAGGCTGCAAATGCACCCATTTCTTTGATGGGAAGACAGGAGACAAATTGCAAGAGAAACAGCTGGGGAATGGGAATGGA